AAAAAAAAAAAAAAAAAAAAAAAAAAAAAAAAAAAAAAAGAAAGAGGAATAAACCCGTCCTGCGATTCTCTACCCCGTCTCCCCTGGCCCCAGATGCACATTTCACCAAGATAACTTACTAACTGGGAAATTCTCCGAGGAAATAGATTACGCCTCCGTCGTGCTGGCCATCATGCTCATCCTGGGCGTGGGGAATTGGTACGCCTACGCGCGCCGGCATTATCACGGGCCGCGGTTGGAGATGTGATGACCACAAGTTACAATGAATGACTTACCCCTATCATGTGTATAGCTAGTAGAAGCGAGCAGCTAGCTACAAGCTAGAGAAGACGATTGATGCCTAATGACAAGTACATGAACCTTGACTCTTCTTCGGGAATGTTTCGTTCCCCCAACCAGCGTAAACCCTTCCGTCCAGGATCCCACATCTGAAGCCTGGAGTCTGACCTCTACAATCTAGGAATCAAACTCACGTGGGCCAGGTTTATCCTCTATCCCTCTGGATTCCCGACCTGACAGGGTTGATACACTCATCTACATGGGTGTATGTATAGAAATATACCGGTATATAAAATGTACACAGGACCGTCACTGTCTTAGACTGGACGAAGAGAGGGAGAGGTAGGCATTAATCCCACATGGAAGATATGAATGGTGGTGTTCACCGCATGTTACCCAGCTGGGGTAGGTATGAGTCAGGGGACTGTATTGGTTGGGATCGTCTCCGTGTAATGACCATCTCGACTATTCTTACGGTGAATCCATAGTTTACTCGGTTAGTAGATTTGAAGGGCATGACATCATGGGACTAGGAGACCACTCGACAGATCACATGCTCTAGTCGATACCCTAAGACGAAGGCATACCGTTGGATACAATCTGAAGTGGCAAGAGTAGCATTCAAGCAAATCAGAATTGGATTCTTAAGTCGCGCGGATGCTTCTGTTCCGTCTGTACTCATCCTTGGAGATCGGATCATAGTTCAGGTGAAAAAAAAGAAAAAAAGGCTTATTGCAACCAATATATCTACTCGTCACAAACCAATTCCACCACAGCCAAGATTGCCGACGTCACACTCAACGGACACTGGATGAAGCACAAAAACCACCACAGTGACGAAAGCGCAGGAAACGAGCCGGATGCGCACGCTCAGCAGGCATCAAACAGACAGTAAGAGGTAAATGATGAATTAAGTGCCATGCGGCTATGCAGGAGGCCGGTCATTCTGGAACCTTCTCTCACAGGCACAACCTCAAGAGCCTAGAGCCCGATTCCCAGCCAGAATAAATCACACAAATCACCGGAGGACAAGAAAGCCGCATTTCCACAAATCAAGCAGTGCAACATATGAGATTAGAACATAAGAAAATCGGAAATTATCCAGGAGCGAGGCCCGTGGCGCGCAACAGCGACACGATCGCTGCCGCGCCCACGCTGGACGGCTCCCTCATTCCCGGCGCCCTTTTCAGCGAAACAACTCGAGCGGTCTAGTGGTGTGTAAGCGGGAGTGGCGGTCGTAGTAGGGGGTGTAATAGAAGCAGCAACGCCATTATCGGGAGGAAGTTCGTTTCGTTTAACAAGGAGGAGAGGTTGGGGGTCATGGATCGATCATGGCGTCTAGCACATTTCACAGCACTCGATGCAGTCAAAGCAGCACTCGCAAGTCTCTTCGCACAGACACAGACAGCACAGAGTGGCCAAGCTGCGCAGAAAGAAAGCTTGGGTTAGCGGGAGGTACTGGTGGGTCTGGAGAAGGCAATGCGATGGATCGCTTACCAGGTTCCTAGACAGCCGCGGTCCTTCTGCTGGGGAGGGGGTTGCTGCTGGTACTGCATGGGTTGCTGGAAGGGTACGGTCAGTGACAATCAGTGGCATAATCTCGGGTCGCAACGTACAGGAGCATAGCCCTGAGGAGGAGGACCCTGAGGAGGGTATCCGCCCTGAGGAGGGTAACCCTGCTGGTAGCCTTGCGGGGGGTATTGGCCGTAACTGTAGGGAGGCGATGAGTTAGCGGCTGTTGCGCGCGATGAGGTGGTCGGGATCAGTCCCCAAGACACACTGGTCGGAGGAGCGCAAGGCAAAGGAACTTCATGACCAGTGGAACATGACCCTCATGGCGCTCGACAAGTCTGTCGGGTTAGATCCGCCATTGTTGTGTGGAGGAGAGGACAAGCCGGGGCGCGACAGGAGGCTCGGAGGCCAAGGGACCGGGCGCAATGGACGGGGGAAGGGGAAAGAAGGACTTACGCCTGCTGCGGCGGAGGGGGGCCGTTGTAGTATCCTTGTTGAGACATGGCGACAAGAACGGGATCTAGAGAACCAAGAGATGCGAAGCAATGATGGTCAGCGGAGAGAAAGCTTGGAAGAAGGAAAGAAGAACGGAGAGATCGGGAAGACGGTTAAGAGTGCAGTGGTGAGTGAATTGATTGAGTGAGTGGAAGCCGGCTGGGTCTGAGAGGGGGGGGGGGACTGGAGGGAAGAGGGAACTGGAAGAGGGAAAAGAGGAACCAAGTGGCTGAGAGAACCAATAGAACCAATAATAATAACAGGGAGGGAGTGGAACATACCTAAGATTACGCCAAGAGGAGGATGGACGGATGTAAGACAGAGAAAGCGAGAGGGAGAGGAAGAATGAAAGAGAGGTCAGATCAAATAAGTTAAGCAGAAGAAAAGAAAAGAAAAGAGAGGAAAAGGGGGGCGAGAAGATCAGAACCAAAAAGGGATGATTGATTGATCGATTGAGTGAGTGAGTGAGTGTGCAGGATAAATGTAAAAGTAAAAGGGACGGAGGAGGAAAGAGAAAGAGGAGAACGAGGGAGAAGCAGAAGAAGGATGGATGATGGATTGATGGCTGAGCTCATGCAGCGAGGCTGAGGCCGCCAGGCTTACTTCTTACACTTCGTAGTCAATAAGTTACCCTCAGCGTATGGAGTCGTATGGTATGGTACCTTTCCCCCCTTCCATCATCTGCTGCCTGCACCTCCAGTGGCCTGGCCCTGCTGTATTCGTATGGTTTCAACCCTCTCAGCTCTCAACTGCATCTGCGACCACGAGCCAATTTGCATTGTGAGCCCGCCCCCACACGTACTCAGTATTATTGATCATTGATGATGGCTGCCAGTGCCAGTGCCAGTGCCAGTGCCAGTGTTATCTGGAGGATTCCGCTTTCAATTCGCAACTCACTAGGTATAAATGACGCATGGGTTTCACCCTCAGCGCTTAATTATCTTGTTTGTAAATGGCCCAACTACAACCACCGACGCATACTTCCAGTCCTTAATAGATTACCGAATGGTATCAGGTACAGACAGAATCATACCATTTTTTATTCAACATGGTGGACCACAACTCAGCCACACCGCAGCAGCCCTACGGGAACCAAACAAAGTAACCAGAAGAAAAACCCTTTTCCTTTCCAGACCGCAGACCGCAGACCGCAGACCGCTTAGGCACCAGCCACGAGCGTTCATCGTCACTGGGTCCCCAAGTCCCAGAGATCCTCTTTTTTTCTTCCCGATTCCAATGACAGTGCCCAGACACGGGCTCGTTGCCCCAGATCATGGATGGTTCCAGACGCTGTGATGCTGCTCAGTTAAGGTAACTTGGCAGCCTGCTGGTTGGGTCCAATAGACCATTTGTGAATTGTCTGCGACGACCAGACACGCCTACGGTTTATCCCGCCTGCCTACCCGATTCATGCCGTGCTGGTTGTGGTTCTGGATGTCGATAGGGACTTATGCACATAACTGCCTCTAAGTACAAGGGCAGCACGTGAGTGGAGGCTGTATGCGCATTGGAACATTCATCGGACGCACGTGATCTCCCTCTTCTCTAAACCGTGTGCACTTGTATAGACTAGGTAATGTTCGTCTAGATCTATGATGACAACCTTTTATTGACATAGTGGCTAGACTAGAAGAGCGTCACTAAAGCTGCTAACCCATCGGTTCCCTGTTTCATACATACAAAACTCCTTATCTCAATAATCAATATCTAAGTATCTGGCCAGATTCTACCTCAGCCTTGGCTTCTGTCATTAAACCATCCTGCCTGCCTACAAATCAAAATAGATCAGCAGAAACATCCCCGGAAACAAGCTCTCCAGATCCCATCCTCACATACACCGAATCAAACCTCCCAATGCCAATCCAACCAGCCACCCCCGCCGTCAAAGACAGCGACAACAACAACAACAACAACAACAACAACAACAACATGGACCCCTACCCCCCAATCCTCCAAGACTACCTCACCAACAACCTCCTCTCCACGTCCACCGCCACCACCATCGCCTCAACCACATTATCCCCGCCAGCCTCCGAAGAAAACCTCGAAGACAAACTCACCCGCCTCTGGCGCCTAATCCTGACCCTCGCGCACCAAACCCCCACGCACCAGGCCAAACTCGTGGACCTCCTCACAGCACTCTCCCACCTCCCAGACGCCACCACCCCCAACGAAGCCGAAGAGAAACCGCTCATGATCCACGACATGCGAGTCTGGCACGACCTGCCGATGCTGGGCTGGGAGCTCCGCCACCGGTGGAACGACTCCGTCCCAACCCCAACCCCAGTCCATGCAGGGACTAAGGGGGCAGAGGGGACAGAGCGCGACGCCGCGATCGCAAGGATCGTGAGCGTGAACCGCTTCGTCGCGCGGCTGGTCGCCACCCACGAGCCGGTGTTCCGGCCGCACGCGTGGTTCGCGCTCGTGACGCTGCGGCGGGCGCTGGAGACGCCGTGGGCGCAGATGGGCCCGGAGGATCCGCCGGCGGCGTGGGTGCCGGCGGCGGCGGCGTGGATCGAGGTTCTGGGGCCGGAGATCTACGCGTGGGAGGAGGAGTACGTGGCGGGGCCGGCGGTGGGTGCGCCAGGACGGGGCGGGCCCCTGTGGCAGGGGAAGCATGGGTTCTGTCGGGAGCGGTGGGGGCTTTGGAGGGAGAGGTTTGGCGAGGTGGCGAGGTTGGAGGGGAAAGATGTGCATGTGCGCAGTGTGGCGGGGAGAGCGGAGCGGAGGATGAAGGAGATTGAAGCGGATCGGGGGGCAGGTGCAGGAGATCTGAGGTAGGTACTCCGTAGATATGGGACCTCGCGGGGTATGTCTGGGTCATGATGGTCACGATTCGTGTTAGATTATTCAGATGGTCCTATATGGTCGGAGTTTGGATAGTAATATGATTTTCAACCCTTTCTCTTTCCAGAGGTAGTTGTCGAACTATATCCTATATCCACTTGGGTCCTTGGTGGCAACTTCCTGGCGAATTCCAGTCCAGATGATCAGGGAGGATATGTATAGATAGGGCGGTTAATCAGTCTATCGTTGCATCCACTATACTATACGATCAGAGCTATAAGAATTGTTTTCATCTCCGACTTGCCAGTAGGGAAAGGCCCATTCCTTGAGCTTCAGGATGCATCAAACCACTGACCTTATATACAATCAAACGAAGTCAATGTCCAGCTTTAGATTCAGGCAAGAGCCCGACATAACAATAAACTTGTTCGGTCAGGCCCTATACCGATCAACGCCTGCATTCAACCCACAACGTTCAGCGGTAGTTCGTCCGTTGCGCAGGTAGATTGATGGCGCACGCGCATACGATATGCCTGCAACTCTCATCGTCCTCGATTAAGGATACTATCGTCATCATATTGATAAATTGATGGATAAGCATCGCTCTTCAACCAGTTCGTCTTGATGACATTGAAAACTTGGACTTCAGCAAAGAGTTTCTAGGCTTACGGCGCAGGAACGCCGGATGATAGGACAAGTATGCGGAAACGACATCGACGGCAAATCACATTGAAGCGTCAGATGGCAGATGGTTATCATCCTCTTCGGCGGTAGTGATGGCCCGGCTATCGACATATCGATACGTTGGTCTAGTTACCGCATGTCTGGTGGACTTTCAGGCGCGTTGTGTTCTCTTTGCACCGGGTCTAGCAGCAGACAGCGCTAGTTGTTTAGCGCCCAGGTGTTCTCAAAGGCGATAATGATGGGCGGGCTAGGAAGCCAAAAAAAGATACGAAGAAACTTTAGGTGTACACGGCTTGTTGATAGTCATATGACTAGTAGCATGTTTCAAATCGAATAACAGCGCTTGGTGATTAGTTGTACTAAGAATCGCTAACGGTGCATTTCGGGATTGACACGCGCTTTTGTGCAGTCCCCCCACGCGTCCGCGCCGCTCAGCGAGCATCATAGTCAGACCTAAAGTGCAGGTGGAAGGAGAAGTTGCTTCAGTCAATAATGCCAACTTTCGCAGAGATCCTTTTTGGTAATAAGGAAATAGCAATGGAAAGGGTTAGTGCCAGACAGCCTTCCATGCTCATCGTTTCTCTTCTAGGCTGTGCCGCTGAAACACCCTCACCGCCGCCTATCCAGCCACTGGGTGTCACCGCCATCACCGGCACTCGGAGTCTCGCGGACGCCGGTCAAACTTGTATAACTAGTGGTAGTAAGTCCAGATTAAGTACCAAGCATCATTATAGTGGGTCGGCCAGTCGCCATCCCTGCCTTACCCTACACCGCCTAGAGGTCAGGAGAGTAAAGCAGAGAGGCTCTCAACATTTCTTCTGGACATCGTATTCACTAAACCAATATATTCAGGGTTCTGTGTCTGGTTGATTGTCTGCTCATCACACATTATGTCGTGGCGCGCCCCCAGGGCGGCCTAGAGGGCGATGAGATCGACCCTTGGTGTCTGAAAGAAGAAAGAAGAGGGTAGAAAAGAGTACCAAAAGAGAAATGAAGAATAAATGGCGGGAGAAGAGAAAGAAAAAAATGGGGCTGGGCGAAAGAATCATAGACAAGAAGATCCCGCAAGAGAAGAAATTCCAAAGACCAAAGAATTAGTATCACATCAGGCTGGGATGCCACGAATCAGACAGAGAAGATAAGATGAGAGAAAATGCCCAAAAATGCAAGATTAATACTGAGGTGGTGAAAAGCGCCCAGCAGATGGCACGATCACACATACGAGTCAATCTCAGGGGGGAGCGTTGGAGATTCGAAATAGCAAGGCGTCGGGTCAAGGGGAAACTCCATGCCCATCGCCGGAAACGTAGCCATGGGGTCATACCCGTCAATGAGGGCGGTCTCTAAGACTTGAGAAGTGATCTCGTCAGCCGCTGCCAGGGGCAGACTAGAGAATGGTACATCTTCGGTGCCAACCACCAGCGGTGCGGCCGTCAGATCATCCCCTAATGATTCCTGGTTATTGAAAGTCGGGGCGTTGCCCACAACAAACTCGGTCTTTTGCACCATCCAGTGCTTCAAGACATCCATGGGTGGGTGGTTACCGCCCCCCTTGCCGCCGCGCTTCTCGCTGTCTTTGCCACGGCCACCCCGACCGCGCTGGCAGGGGTTGAAGTGGGTTCGACGGAGATGAGCCGCGGCGTTATAATTAGCACCATATCGTTTGCCATTGCGGCAGGCCTTGCAATTGGCCAGGAAGGTCTTGTCAGGAGAAATGTCAACACAAACCCAAACCTTGCGAACCACGGCATGCACCCGCTCAATATGCCGACGCAGCTCGTGCTCCCCGTGGAAGCCGTCCGGCTGGTCATTGCACATGTTGCAATACGTTTTCGGGCGCGTGGGCCGTTGGATCGAAGCTTTCGGGATGGCGGCCACCTCCTTAGCCGTTCCATCTGAAGACGAGATCCTGATCATCTTATGCTGCTCGCCCACCTTGGGTGGTGAGCTACTCTGAGGCTCCGCTTTGGGGGCAATGGGGCGAGCGCCCTGCACAATCTGTTCTTGAGTTCTGCGTGCTGCTCTGGAGGGTTGGGAAGTGGATGAAGGGCTGTCATTCTCAGTAGATAATGAGGGCTTCATCTCCGTCGCTGGAGATGCGGAGAAAGTAGGGATGGGGGAGTAGTATGGGGTAGAAGATGGGGCTGAGCACGAGAAGGAAACTGGGGCAGCGGAGTCAGGGTAGGAGAACGCGAGATCATGCACGGGATTTTGGTGCAGGGGGTTGAAACTGGTGGGGAAGGGAACATTCATCGGCGAACTGGAAGGCATGAACTCGGTTGATGGGACAGAGAAAGAGAAAGTGGAATCAAGATTTGGTCCGGAGGAATCAAACCTCATCATGCCAAACCCCCCGCAAAGCGAGTCGGTGGTGGTACTCCTGCTCATCTCCACCGCGGCCGGCTGGTCGGCCATCGTGGGGTTGGCCAAGGTAGTGAAGTCAGCCATCAGCTCAGGCTGAGTCTGAACCAACTGCGACCTTTGATGGTCAAATCCGGAGAGCGCGGGATCCGCCGAAAGCGCCATGGAAAGAGCCGAAACGTTTCCTTGGCCTTGGAAGTCGCCCAAGTACTGCTTGGCGTACTCCGAGGGGGTATACTCGTTGACATGGTCTAGCCGGCGCTGCACGCGCTGAGGTCCATAAGAGTGTCGATGTCCCTTCACATTGGTGGCGGCCAGCGACGGGCGGTGTGAAACCGGCGTTTGCTGACTCTGTGAGCGGACCATGGCCGTTTGTCGAGAGGACCCAGGACCCGAGAAGATAGCCGCGGTATCCTTCCGTGAATTGGTTCTTGACAGGCGCCGAGCTGTCTCAGGGGCTGCCGGGGAGGAAGCATGAGACAACTCGCGTGTCAAGTCGACGGTCACTGGAGGTTCCGGAGTCTGCCATTTGTCAATCCAGGGACAGTTGTCGGGAGATGGAAGAGAGAGGCAGTGAGATCATGAAGTAACGCAATGAGAACAGAATGGGTAAGGACGAAGACATGAATAGAAGGCGGGAGCAGAAGACCAAGATGATTCACGTACGGTGACTCGTCGTTTCGGTGGGGGGAGACCAGAGCCAGGGAGAGTCCGGGGGGTATCCTGTCGCGTCCTTTTCCCAGACTTCTCCAAAGCAGCGCTGTCGTCTTCGGGAACTCCAGAGCCGGGAACCGGGCGATAGCTGGAGGAGGCATCGAACGAGGAAGCTGACGAAGAGGCCGTGGTGGTCATGAACTGACTTAACCGCTGACTCCAAAGTTGATTCCGCTCGGATTCCGGAAGGTGGGAGTGTCGAACCAAAAAAGCGTCCCGATACCCAGAGATAGCCCGTGTGAACAGTTCGTCGTCGGCCATGGTGCCAGCCATAGTGGGTGGGGAGATCCTCTCTTTGCGTGTCGCCTCTTATCACGTGGGGCAAAGGAGGGCTGCTATCAGTATCAAGTGACTGGAAAGGGTAGGAGGGGTTCTCTGCAAAAACAGATGTTAGCAAATTGATTCCAGATAGGTGATATAATAGGCGAGACTGACTGAATTTCTGTGACAGCTAAGGAAAAGGCTGTCGCTGGTGAGTGGGTGGGTGGGAGTAGTGCTGGCGGGGATGAATTCGCGGATGCGGCCCCAGACAGTAGATAGTATAGAGAAAAGGAAGAGAGAATAGGAGGAGAAAGGAATCGCAGAAAGTGGGAGTATAGTGCGAGAGAGTAGCAATGTGGGTGGAAAGAGGTTAGGAATAGGAGGGTGGGCAAGAAGAAAGATGGAGTATATGAAGAGTAGGAGGTAGGAGGGAGGTGGGAGAAAGTGTATGGGGATCCCAGATTTATGCGACGAGGAGAATAGCGATAACGATAAAGAATGAGGAGATCAGGGAGGGAGGGGAGGTTATCAGTTTAATAGAGCATCTACCATCCCCACAGCTTGGGCTTGGTCGAATGGGTCGGGAGAGAGGGTCTAGGGTGAAACTAAGGTTGAGAATTGAGAGTGGGAGAAGAGATGATGGATGGGGGAGGATGAAAAGGATGAAAACAAGAGAGAAAGGGAAAAAGAGAGAAGTATCGGGAAAGAGAGCGAGAGAGCGAGAGAGCGAGAGAGAGCGCGCGCGCGCAAAAGATCCGTCAGAAGGGGAAGCAGTAAGTTGCAGGTTAGTTTGGGAGTGCCTCCTCCATCAAGAGGGTTGAAACTGGGCGGGGATCAAAGATGGAGGGCCGGATTGGAGGGCGCAATGAGGGTTCCAGACCCTCTTGGGGGGGGGAAGAGGGTGGGCAGAAATCCCTTATCCTTCTGTTTTTGTTTTTTTTTTTTTTTTCTTATTTTTTTGGGGGGGAGCAATGATTTATTCATATTTTCTGAGATTTCTTTTCTATACTAACTACGACTATTCTGGAAAGTCGACTATCTCATTTACATACTTGGATCACTTCAGGAGCTTATTCTTTTGTGGTTACCTTCCCCATACTTTTTACCCGTCCATAACAAGACAAGCAAAGATTAAGAGGGCGCGAC